GGGAGGGCGGGTTTCGCGTTGCCTACATTGAATTGTAGCACTTATCCTGTCAGTAAGGCTGAATGGTGAATTGGACATAATTATAAAGAGGAAAGTATACGCTAATTATGCGTACTGCATTGTCCAACTTCGGACAATTGAAACAGTTTCTTTTGGTGGAAGCGGTGTTTTTCACTCACATTGCGAGCAAGTGGAGATAGGCTTCTGAGGAGAGCTGGAATGGCTCTGGAAGGGCAGCAGCTCCAGGGTAAACAGGAGAAGAGACGTTGACGTCCCACCAGCGTCGAAACGTGTCGGGAGATTCACAATCCTCTTGGAAAAGAAGCTTGGCATGGGGGGATGTTCTCGAGGCGATGAAGACATCCCTGGTAACGCCGCACACAGTCATGATGCGGTGGTGGACAGGGAAGGACACCAGGCCCAGCTCCTCTTCGTCGAGGCCGCTGTTCATCGTATTGTCAAGAGTTTCCAGCTGCACCCCGTTTTCCTCCATCACCTCCTTCAAGTGCTCGCTGGCCATGTTCAGTTCGTGCCTTGCCTTTTTGACGCAGATCTTCAGGTTCTCCAGCGTGGCACGGGTAACCCGAAACGTCATGATTCCCCAATCTCGATGGATAACAAGGATTTCGTGCTCACCACGGAGGAATAGCCTCAAACCTCCGGGAAGATGACGCCGTTTCAGTTCGAATCTAATTCCGCACATTGTATACATTGGCTGCTGCGTTTGTTTGCCGAAAAGATGGATGACACGGGCGAGCGAGCGCCTCGTCTTCTCCTCTGCGGTGATGGTCTCGTCCACCCAGTCATCTCCGTTCAACTCGGGTGGGAGAAGGCGAGCTTCCGTCTCCCAATTCGGGTGCATTCGGACTATTCTCTCCTGCGAGAGCATTACAGATGCGATTTTACTTCCCTTTGATGACATGGCGGCAGCGTGGATGGGAGCGTTGAAGGCTGGTGCACACGATGGCGGCCGCTCACGAATAAGAGTCTCGAGAACTGGCGTTATCTGCGGTTATTTCTGCAACATTTATCTTTCGTATCGCTGTGTAAACTTTTCAAGCAATGCACTACCTGGAAGATAAATCGCCTAAACTCGTCCACATTCACCCTTCGAGTGTTGTTGAACGCTGCGGGTCAGGTTTTTCGTACGTTTACACAAGGAGACCAACATTCCCTATAATCACAATGGAAGATGACAGAAAGTCAGGGCGGCGTACTGCGAAATGAAAAAAAAGAGCAATTAAATATTGAGGGCGTAACTTGTCGGGCACGTAACCACAAAAAAGTTTTGCCAAGTACAGCAAAGCCATGTAGTGTTCCATTTTCTTTTTAATTGAATATAGGAAAATTCTCATAAGTAATTGATTTACTAAACATTTTATCCATTTCATGAGTGTCAAATTTTGAAATATGAGAACCAAGTGAGAATTCAGATGAGGGAAGCGCCTTCATTATTCAATATGGCATCCACCTCAAAAGGATAAATGCAAATAACCAATGGGTCAGTTGAGAACTTTTAATTAGAACTAATTACATCGTTTGCATGCTTTTAATCAGTGAGGCACTGCACGAGTCAGCGTTTCTTGCCATAAAACATCATCAATTGGGTTTCCATGAAAGTCACATGGACTCCCGTCATTCTCCGAAAATCTTTCGTAATTTAACAAGTCACCATAGTCCTCCAGGAATTTGCTCTGCCATCATTTTATTTTTGGAATGGAGTGCGACATTTATGCGGATCAGGTCAATTACACTGACATTAAACCAACACTGAAACTCACTAGAGAAATTCGATCCCAATGATTCTCACTTTCCGAGTAAGATCGAGGAATGAACTTCTTTCAGATCAGATACTGCAGATTAGATAGGTCTCAGCTATTTTTCCATTCCGGAATTTCCTGATGCAGGTCTGGATAACCGCTCTGAAAAGATTTCGGGAACTGTCCGGGTGAAAAGGGTCGACAGTTCCTTCACGATCCATTTATTCATCGTGCAAATACAAATTTATTTAAATCTAATTTCCGGAGAAAAAACTTTGAACGTTTTTACATTGATATTATGCCATTTCTCCCTCTCTTTGTCAAGATTCCCTTTGTCATAGACAATATAAGCCTGGTAAACTAACTGTATACTTTTAGTCAGTAACACAGCAATGAGCAAATACAATGTTATCTCCAAAATGAAATACTAGATAATGCCAATGAATGGAAAAATTATGGAGTCAGTGACCACAATGGCGAAGGTGAACGTCTTGATGGAGATTCCCACGGTGGAGCCAGAGAGATACCACAGATGCAAAGCAGCGAGCACGAGGATTCGTGCAAGCGTTCCATTTTTTCTGTCGACGCGTGGAAGGAATTGCCAGGCGGTGCATCTTCTGAAAGCGGTGTGCGGCATTTCAACAGGGAAGTAGGTACATAACAGATTGAGCTTCTGGATTAGTGGTCGAATGTGACAAAAGACCATGAGGCACAAACAGGTAAGGGAACTTGGTCGAGGGGCCATTTAATCCTTAATTGTTCCGTTGTTGCTGTCTGCAAGGCAAGTAGGAATTTCCTGTGGATTTGCCAGGATTGCTTGTGGCATTACAAATTAAGTGCAGGAGTTGGTACAGACGATCTCAAGAAACACAGGGGAATTAAATATCTAAAACTGTGCATTTAATGGAAACGTAGTCTTCGATCTCATGCTTCACAGTGTGCCTGCTCGTACGGCAAGAGTTTAAAAGTGTTGCGATGGACAGGTATAATTAGACGATTGTAAGGAAAAATGAAAACATCATCTTTGGCGACGCGGCGACAGATATACTTCACGCCCAGTGACAAAGAATGATGAAATGACAAAGGAACCCCCAGAGAGATCCGAATCATGCGAAAGATGAGAGTGAATTGCACCCAGCCCAGTTAGGATGCTGCGCGACGCATGACAGTGGAAGAACTTGTCTCCCATCCCTGAAATGCTGCCCGATATGACACTGCCAGAGAAGATAAAAATCACTCACGATGATGTTGGCTCAGGTCAGACGTCAAGAAGGCTTGCTATTGGATCCCGGGACTGCGACGGCTGAGATGATGCGGAGCCCTGAATGAACTGATGTCAAGTCTCCGATGGGGATAGGGATGCCCTTCGTCCTCTCGTCTCCTCAAAATTTTTATTTCATATGCTCTATTATATTGACTGAGATCGTCAAATGGAAAGGACCTGACCATGGAGTGTAGGAGAAACGATCCTCATGAATCTAGCCGGAAGTTCCACCAAAGCGAAGTGGAAGCGCCTGCTCGGCGTCTCCTCCCGCCCATTCACAGCGACAGCTGGACCAACGCGCAATGCAGGCTGTCCATATTCAGGAAACTGACTTCCATCTCATGCCCAGGGGTCGAGTGGTTCGGCTAGTTACTCCAGGGGGTAAAAAATATTTCATTCCATGCTCACTGGCCAGCAAATATGACCAACTCGGGGTAACTCCTCCGACTATTTGTGGGGAACACAGGCATCCTCTAGTATCACAGTAGGGTCGAAGTGGCAAACCAATAACAGCTTTTATTTTTTACTTAAAAAAAAAGGCCACCCAGGGCAGCACTGTGAGGCATATTAATCGCAAGATACAGTTCAACCCTCCTTAAATTCTACCATATAATCCAAACTGCTGCTTGGCAGCGAGGAATCGCAATGCCTAATGAAACCAAATTGAATGGGAAACCCAATGGTCTCAGACCGATCGCCTGCCAAAAACGCGAGGTCGCCGATGGAGAAAATTGGATAACGAATGGTCGCCAGAAGCGGGATTAGGTTAAAGGGAAAATGACACGTACACGCTTTTGGATTGAATTTTTGGCACTGGAGAACGGAGAAAGCACTTCAGGAAGATCAGCTTCATCGGATAGGGGAAACCACCCTTGAGATGACAATACCTGCAATCGACGGAAGCGCTCCCATGGGCAGGTTCGAATTCAATCCGAAAATTGTATGCGGGGAGGGGCTTTGGCTTAGCAAATGACAGAAAATGGTCGAAATGCTCTGAAAAGAACATACTTCTGTCTTCACGTCACAAGCAGGTCGAGCGTCTCCCGATTGCGCTGAGGTAACCTGCGAAGCAGTTACGAGAAAGGTAAAAAAAAAAAACCAACGTCTTCATCACAATCAAGTATATTTCACGAAAAACAAACTGAAGTCTCGGAATGCGAATTCAACGCTATCACTTCATCGCAACAATTCCTCCTGGACCCCACAGAACGACGAGCTCTGACTCGCCGCCTCCAAGCACGTCTCCCAGAAGCCAACCAACCGGTTGGAGTCGTTGAAGCAGAACCTCCGGAAGTCCGCCAGCAGCTTCGTCGGGAAGTGGTCGTCCCCCGTCGCATGGGACCGCCACTTCTTCGTCATCATGAAGTTCCATGCCCACAGGAATCCCACCTGATCGCACCACGCATTCGTTATTCTACCGACGTACCGTGCACACACCACCACCGTACAATACGTCCTTGCAAGACATCTGCAATTTCAAAACCGTTTGCGTCGCTGACTCATCTGTTCATAGTCATCCTGCGGAGTACGAACACAGCCAGATTTCCGGAAGTTCAGTGCGAATAATTTTCTTTACTTTTTTTTTGCAGACAAGTGTGGAACTACGCCCAAAAATGAAATCTCACACGAAGAACGACGAGACTTCGATAAGATTCAGAAAGGACGTGACCGCGACGCCAGAAAACGTCATTGCGGATTGCATAAAAAAAATGTAGCGACTCTTCCTCGCCATGCCGGATCCTCTTAATCCCGCTTTAGGGCGCCTCATCACTAACATCAAAACGCTTTAGGGCGTCTCATCACAAACACCAACAAAAATGGACTCGCCCAATCGCATGAAACGTCTCCCAGAAATCTGCCGACGCGTTCGCGGTAATCAGGGTGACTAATGACGCCTGGTGACGTGATACTTCTGCGACGCCGACGGTCTTGAAATTACACGTGCGTTGCAATACCTTTTTTTTTATTCGCGGCCCTCACACAACCTCAACTTCGTGTCCAGCTATGAGGGCGAAAGCGTATGTGCTCTCCGTGCCCCTGCTCCGCATCTTCAATTACCAACAAAATGACTATGCAACAGACACGATACATCTACTTCGACATCATACCCCTTGCTGCTCCAAGGACATAAAGGGTGGACCAAAAAAAAGTACTCCATCCATGCACATTCGAAACACATCAGGCAGAAATAACTCAAACGCCAGCAGGCCATCTTACAGAATCAAAGCGGGCAATAACAGCCGCAACTCACGGTCACACGCTACTCACGTTTTACTTTCAGCGAGCACAGAACCAGCAAAGACAGCTGCACCATCCAAGCTTACGGCCCCAAGATTAAGTTCTCCCTCATGCAGCTTCTCGCCACGAACAATGACCCCCCCCACAATCTCTCGACAGGTCGCCTTAGAATCATCATGCAAGGCATCAGCAGGCGAGACCAGGCGTCCAAATCGAGCAGGGAGATCATTGCCTCGGGAGTAGGGAGATCATTGCTTCGTTGCCGTGCGCATTCCAAAATATAAAAAATGAAATGAATGCCTTCGGTCTCTGATTCTCATCGGCTCGCATTCTCCATTCTTTCTGTTATGCTGTTCCTTGATGGCTACAGTTTCAAAACTGTTATAAAAAATAGTTTGACTTCGGGTTGAGTCTAGCCCCTACATATGATGGTATATTCTGAAGTCTAATTCTTTGTTTAATAATATATCACGAGGATGCGGTACTCACGTTAGACTCAGATAGAAGCAGTGACAAAGGCTTTACCCAGCCAGAATTCAGCGTCACTGATGAACCAATTCATTCATGAATCAAGGTTACCATATTGTTGTTTACCGCAACTTTTTGTTCTTGAACTTAACACTCCTACTAAATACATAAAGCCTTCACATCACCATCATTTTAATTGCAGAAGTTCAATAAATTAACTTTAAAAAAAATTGATTTAACCCTTTACTTCAGCGGAAATGGAGAAGTGCGTCTTTCTGGTCCACCCAACGCACCGAACTCAAAAGTGCTCTTGGGCCATATTCATCGTGGCAATTGAAGCGCCAAATCAGTCGCATTTTCAATTTGGACAAGCACGCGAAAAAAACCCCCAAAACATCGATGCAGACAAAAGGAAATTTCCTACATCCGATGCAGCACATGTCTCACCCTCTTAATAATGAAAATGGCAGGTAAGCAAAGGCCTGAATGCAACAGACCATAGGTGCAACTTGCGCAAGCAGAGCTGCGAAAAATAGAAGAGTTGCAGAAATCCTTCGAAACCTACCCTCCCTTAAAACAAGCGGGGACGAGAGTTTTAAATCACAAGAATCCCGATCAAAAGTAAAAGTCAAACGCTTCGAAGGGCCAAGTTCACCAAGTTACACGTACCAGTTACACCTGCAGTTTTACCCCAGGAGACTGCGTGAGGGGTGCATAAGCGTAAGTACCGGTCAGACTTCAGCGGGGGGGAGGGGGGATCGTCTCACCTGTGGGGCCCCAATGGAGGATGAGGAGGTGAGGGAGGGATCTGGTGCAAAGCCATGCTGTCTATGCAATGAGGCCATTCGGGCTGCAAACACACAGTACGGACTCTGCCAACTCCCGCATTCCTCGCTCTATACCATCCAAAACACCATGCATAGTCTCGTGGCAGAAAAAAAATTCATTGTCCCGTTCTCTTGATTAAGCCCACCCAATGCAATCCATGTCATCCTCCCCAAAAAAGCACTCAGGGTTGCAGACTCCAAAAACGTTAATATACTGACAGTACTGACAAGCCATCGATGCAGTTGTGACACATTTTTCGGATGCTAGAAAAGACTTAGAAAGAACCCCAAGCACAAAAGCCAACTTTGTAATTAATATGAGAGAATGAACGAGAACTCATCAGGGTCAGCAACTCTTTGGGCATGCGATGAGGGAACAGGAATGAACGAGAAAACACGTCCAGAATTCCTTTAAAATACCAACAAATACTGCCAACAAAAAGAGTTTAGGTCAGGGTTGTCAAACACGTGGCCCTTGGGTTGGACCTTGGCCATAGAGGTATATGCAGGGTAAAGAATGGGTCATACAGACCAATTTGAGTTTGAGTCTTACGTGATTATTGCGGGAATTACCTTAATTGTGCATTCTTTGCATCGTTTTCCGTCTTTCTCTTTGCAAAGTGGACATCTCGCTAGCAACCATTTTCTATCAAAGAACATGTCTAACGTATTGTCGAAAAGGAAGCAAATCCCACAGAATGCATGGGCTCCAAGAGGTTACTCTCGAGGAAGAGCAATCCATGCATCCCAGACATGCAAAAGAACCAGCAGGAGCATAGCAAGACAGAAAAGCAACTTACAGTACTCTTCCCACTGATGGCAATGCCTATCTGAGCAGGTGACTGCAACCTGGAAAGGGAAAATACAAGAATGAATCGGGCAGAAGCCACCAAGGCCGGTGGTGATGAAACCATCCTCTGAAGTCAAACAGGTTCCCAGAATTGAACACTGATGTTCACTCTGCATGCAGGTACTTAGACAGGAAAAAGTAGAAAGTTTCTCTTGCTTAATGGCTAGTTACCAGTGTACCATCACACCACATAGCTGTCTCTTCTCTAAAAATGTTTGCTTCAGGTACAAAATCCATTCAAGCAAAGAAAGAATAGTGAACACCTGATGCAAAGTAATGTGTTGCAGTTCACATTAAGAAATTCCCATGAGGAGGAGTTTGCCTCACCAAAAATTTAGCATTAATTCACAACAGTTAACAATTCACCAAGGATCATAATCTGAGAGAAATCAGTATTTAAAAAATTACAGGAGTCACACTGGCATATTGGATCGATTTTCCTCTGCTACAGAGCCAAGCATGTTAAGAGGAGTTGGCCTGCAATCAACCGATGCGTTGGCCGGCAATCAACCGATGCGTTGGCCGGCAATCAACCGATGGGTTGGCCGGCAATCAACCGATGGGGAGACGGGGAAAAGGCAAAGGACCTGATGGGGATCATGATGAAGGCTGTCCCTGTGACATGGATGTACTGGGGCATGGGATTGGGAGCCTTCGCCCCCGGCATCCCTTCCAAGTCCAGGTGACACGGGATGAAACCGAAGCGACGTGCAATTCCCTCCTGGAGGAGGAACATGCGCTGGTTCCACGTCTCCTCGGGGAAACCTGGAAACGTTGCGAGTGGAATGATTACTACAGTAATAAATCGAAGGAAATTGCTGCACTCGATTACTCTTCTACCCTTTCCCCCCTACTTATACACAATGCAAACAAAGATGCACAATTTACACTGAAAGCTAAGGCTTCATGACAAATGGGTAATGGATACTCCTCATTAAATTCCAAATCATGTCCAAGTTCCACATTTCTTTTCCAGAGAATTTTGCTCTCATACAATGCTTCAGTATGCATTCATGATCCCATTTCTCTTCTCCACACTCAATGCACACTAAGGAGAATGTTTTCATAAGCTTCTGGCAAGAAACCAAAGAAACCTGATTTTTAGGGTCAACATATCAACCAGAAAAACTCCAAGCCAGACCAGAGACGCAAGAGCAACTCTACCCCCCCCGCATATTAATGCCAAGAGGAGGAAAAGCACCTTCAAAGAGGTAGCTCTGGTCCCCCATGAGGCACTCGGTGTTGAGCGGGACGTAGATGGGACCCCGCAGGGGATCCGACTTCCACGAGAACGGGAGAGCGAACGGATCGGACGGGACAGGGACCATGTTGAACCCCGACTGGCCGGCCTTCCTCGCCCACCCCAGCACCTGTACACACACAGAGCAAAAAATAGTGAATCTTCGAACATTCTAACTGAAAGGTTCTTGGTTTTCAACTGGGATCAGGAAGTGTTTCGTTTGTCTACACTACATATAATCACCTGCAATAATCCTACAACCATATGGCATAAAACTTTTCATGATGCAAGCCCAGTAGTTCCTTGTCCTAGAAACATGGTCTATTTTGCTGCACTTTTGGGGAAGTGGCAGTTTAAAACAGCAGATTTTAAATTCCTTTGCCTGCTTTCCTGAACTGCTCCTTTCCCTTCTGCTTGCTCTCTCCTCTATTTCTTCACCATGGTTGAAGGACAATAATTTACTGATTTCCTCTCTCATTTGGTGATGAAAGTTTCAGTTTAAAATATTTTTTTCTCAGCATGGAAATTGCTGCGATATGGTGCAGGGTGTAATAAAGCAGCAACACCCTGCCATTCTGCACTGAAAGGTACTTTTCCCCATCAAATAAGAGGAAAGCCAAAAGGCATAAAATATATATAAATAAATGTAAACTGGGCAAACAATTGAATTTGAATGAAGTAGATGATTACAAGTTAAATGTTCTTCATAGTCACACTTGAAACGGATATTGTGAATCATAAAAAAGAAACTAATAATAAGGAAACAGGTGACCACACTCTGAGTTGTCACTCATGTGCAAGAAGAGGTTTTGCCCATCAGTGCTGACTCTTCCAAAGGTTACAGATACCCCCCTCCAAATGGTTACAGAACAGACAAGGACCAACCAGTTCAGCAATGAGGGGGCCAGTGGCAGTGACCCAGTAGACCATGAGTTCGTAGGCAACCGCAGGGTTGTAATGACGCTGATAGCGGGCGTGGGCCCACTCGATGCGGTCGCTCTTCCCGTTCACGTCCACCTCCAAGTCGACCTCCTTGAAGGACGTCCCCGGGCTCCACGACCCGGTCTCCGCGAGCGTCTCCGGAGCGAGGAACGCGTGATCCGGAGCCATCAGTGGGTATGGCAGGGTTTCCACCTCCACGAAGTCCTGCTGAAAGGCTGCCAGGTCCTGGCGGGGAAGAGACACCTCCGCTTCTGCTCCGAGAACGAGAGAAACCATGCTCGGTCGGTTAGCTTCTAGCATGGGCAAGCCTGATTCATGAGCAAGCCTTCTCAAGAAAATGTCAAACATCTGGCCTATGAAGGATGAGGCCACATCTACTAATTTTCCTCCCATTCCTTTTTGTCTTTTCCATCTCCATTCTCTTACCCACTCTAGAAACACTTCCCCCCTCATTTACTTTTCATTGGCTGCCTGGCATCCTCCCAAAATCTTAGCGTGCCAAGTATTCTTTAACCCTTTGTGGAGCGAGGAGGGATGCAGAGAGTTCACCCTGTTGGGGTGGGTTAGGAGGCAATAATTGGGGAAAATGAAATTTCGAAGAACATTTTCTTTCATTTATTTTCAGCAGGGACAAACAAACTCAGATAAAAAAAAAAGTCATTCATCACAAGAATATTTGCTTGACATTCATGATTTCCCTTTTTCCTATTTTTCCAGGGATTGACACATTTTGCTCATTACCTCACCTAAAGCTTTCTAAATACAGGCACTGGTTTTAATGAAAAAAATTATTAAGCAATCACCATGTGCACTGCATCATCAATGAAATGCCCTTACTTCCGACTCCACCCAATTTTCATCGCCATCAGAAAACGAACAAGACAGAGTTGGACAAGCGACCCTACCTGGAAGCTTCCCAGATTCGGTGACAAAGTAGTAGAGGTAGAAACCATTGAGGAAGGGGAACTTCTTGTCCCCAGATGCATGGTATATGTATCCATCACTCAAGAGATTCTGCAAAAAAAATTCCAAAAGCAACTTTAAGCACTTCCACACATAAGAATAAGCAACTGGCTGCTATTACAGGCATTCCACAACCATTACAGGCAACTTTCTGATTCTTTCAATAAGCTATTCATTTGATGATCACGCCAACTCTCTTGGTGATAATTTCGAGTCTGGTACCAGAAAAAGACATTCTAATGGTTATGCTCATCATTACAACTTAACTCAAAATAACGATCTTTCTCAAGTGCAAATGATGACACATATTCTGCATGACCAGGGCATTGCAGTCTGTAAATAGGGCAACAGGCTTTCACCTACTTGAATATAAAAATATTAACATTTCTCAAAAATGGATTACCTAAAACCCCAAGACACAATCAATCCAAAGAGAATGAAGCTGAAGCATTTTGCTTAGGTAGACTCTGAGTAACTCTTCGACTCAATCAGGCAAAACAGGATATTCGAGCAGGAAACTGAGACAATGTGTCCATATGTTGAGCATGTAAATCCCTTGTGGAAAAAAAAATTCCCAGACTAAAATGCCAACAGCTCACCTGGAGGAGACTGACAGCCTGGGGTGCAGATTGGATGCCGTCCACATTCCCCAGGACCCACAACACAGCCTCCCCGCTCACAAACGTAAAACTCGGCAGACCAAACTGCACCGGTAGCGTTCCTAAACATGCGTGTAGAATTCCAGGACTGTAAAACTTGAGCTATGGGACACATGATTATTAAATGAAGGGGAGGAACTCGAGAAAAGGTCAACGAAAGCTCCGCTTTCCATCGCATGGACCTGTTGAATGACAAATGAGTCAGTTGCCAAAATGTCATAGAAAATATGTAACATACCAACACCAGTCTTTGGGTCCCTCATTCTCTCTGCAATGAGTGAAGACTGGGAGGAAGCATTGAGGAGCTGTCCCTCACTGAAAAGCAAACCAGCAACATCTTCAGCATCTCATCATACCATCAACTCAAAACTGATAATACCGTTGTCTTCCTAACTGCCCTGAGCATGAATGGGATAAGTCAAGCATTCTTGGCAAAGACCAAACTCTTCCAAATATTACTACCAAGTATTTTTCTGCCCGAACACGATGCGAGACCTGCTGTGCCGTCTCTCTTTGTTTGGTTATCAGCCGAAGCGGCAGCAACCTTAGCCGTCCTAGCCGCTCTGGGACCACGAGGTCTGGCCCCCTGCCCCACCCGCCCCACAGAGCCGCCAGTCCTTCCCGGGAACCCAAGGATCGCAGGCGCGGCCTCATTCCACTGCTTCCCTGCTTCATTTCCCAACAGCAGCAACAGAACCAGTCAGTCTTTGTTGATGAAATGCGGGCACTTCATCATCTCAGGTCATCCATAATCATGCATACATTTTGGCCCACCACTCCACCCATTAGTAAAACTGCTTCATTTCCCAACAGCAGCAACAGAACCAGTCAGTCTTTGTTCATGAAAAGCGGGCACTTCATCATCTCAGGTCATCCATAATCATGCATACATTTTGGCCCACCACTCCACCCATTAGTAAACGCTTCAAAGAACCTTCCAGAGAGATGTGGTTTTGCTAAACCTATAAGCCTGCAACCTATCCCTCTGTGATAGCAAAGACAGCATCTTAAAGGAAGCAGCCTCGATATGACAGCCTTGTGTGGGGCTGCAGAGAACTGGCAACTACATCTGAGGAGCATACATTTCAAAGTCCGTCGTGATTAACTCGTGAAACCTCTTCTATGATTTTATGTGAATTAAATCACTATATTTATGCCAAGATTATTTAGTAGTCAAACATTCTCCTTCTTTAAAAGGATTGCATGAGCATGTTTAGGTGTAATTTATGCAGATGAATTTCTCAGCAGTCAACAGTGTTCGGGTTTTGGAACGGGCTTTCTCATAGCGACGTCCCGAGTACGATTTTTACGTTTTTTAGGAACTAAATGTTCTACAAACTTCTCGGTGTATCGTAAGAGTAGTTTTCCTGCCATCCACTCCTTAAAAAGATGCATCATATTTAATCAACAACGTGTGATGAGAAAAGAGCAAGGTAACTTTTCCTGAGGAAATGATGGACCCAATGAATCTCTTCGCATAATATTCCAAACAGATTTTTACTGCTAAAACATGCTCACTCTTCCGCTCTTTACGATGCGTCAGCCTTCAAAAGGACTAAAACTGCTGTGCTTTGGAAAGTGACTTGAGAAAAGCAGGAAGGCAAATGCATTTCACAGGAAATGTCACACTGTCTTGATTTCACCACCACCACCATCATTCATGCAAAGAATTAGTGTTCATAAGCAAGAGAGGAAATTTCGGTGTCCACTCAGTCGGCTGAGAATCACACAAAGGAAAAATTCACACGAGAGATGTAAGCAGAGGAGCCGCAGCGTGAAGGAGCCAGACCGCTCGCTGAAATGCTCACACCCTGCAGAGTTCAAATATCTTTGCAGAGGCAGAGACCTTCATGGAAAGGATTCCACAGACCATCACCAGTGCAGTGAAGGAAACAAGTACAGTACAGTCTACCACTCCTCAAAACTGTCCTGATGCAGTGATGATCATGATCTCTGCTGAGTCTTGATCCATTAACTAGTGAGAATCTAGTGGAAGGGGTGTCATAGGATGATAGGTTACAGTTGCCAAGTCCTTAAGAGCATTGCTTAATTGCATTTTCCTCACAGTAATTAAGTGATTATTCAAACAAATAATGTCAACAGCCAGGACACAATGATTAGCTAATGACAACCTGAAGGGTCTACCAGACCTTACACATCTGATCCATTGTGAGGCAATCGCCCATGGAACAGGACAGCTTTGAGCAGTAGGAAACCGTCATGTAGATGCAACATCCGACTAAAGACACAGATGGTGGGAAGGTCGACGCAGTGCAGTGGCTCTGCGACCTCCATCCAAGCGGAACGACACGGCAAAAAAAACAGTGCAGCCGAGAGTGCAAGATCGGCGTGGGTTGGGCACTACCTGGGAGGATGGAGCAGGGAACCCAGGGCAATGGATGAGGCTGCTTCTCCTATCCGCTGGGATCTGGCCTGAACGATGCTACACCATCCCAGCCCATTTGTCAATCCAATATTCATCCTCTCAATGCACTGGCATTGGACTGATTATGCATGTCCATCAGGGGTTTAATGAAGTACCTGTTGTAATCTAGGAAAATCTTGGCAAACACAGGCTTCCTTTTTTTTTTTTCAAATTACAGATAATTGAAAACTATATACCCCGGCGACTGAAGTGATGAATGTTTTATATGTTGCCATCAAGTAAGGGATATTAACATCTCAGATTTTAAACTGCCCCTCATGCTCTCCTATTGCAATGGTCCACACCAGGCATTCGGCAGAGACCATACACGACTCATTCAGGAAAACATGAAGATGCACGTAAGGGTGTGCCCTCCATCTCTAACTCATCCCTAATCCCATGCCAAAATACACCAGGAAAAAAAAAAAGGGCAACAACCTAAACCTTTACAATTGGCTTTCTAATTTGTTCACAAGAGGTATCATTAGCAAGGAGTCTGCAAAGAAGGATTCTCAACATTTTCTAGCTAATTGAAATTTCCAGTAATAATTACATATTAATTTAGCTAATGACCTAGACCTCGTAATGAATTGTACTCTAATTTTGAGGACATCTAAGGCAAATATATTTTCCTGAATTGAACACAAAATGCATGTAAACCTTTGTGCATTCTGCATCTTCTGGAGTTTGACTTTTAATATTTGAGATACTGGTTACTAAAATCACCCTGATTTTGGATGAGTGATCCCACCCGCAACAAATTATTGCATAAAAACTTACAGCCAGATAAACGTATAAAAAACTACTAAGCAATCCATTACTGTAGAGAGATTCCTACAACAGGTGATCAGGGCCAGAATGGTGTGGGTATCAATCCGTGTTCCAATTTTCATTTGGCATGCAGTGTGCCATTTCAGGCACATTATGTGAAACCCTGAGGATAATGCATAGTACCAGTCAACCAATGCCATCAAAGCCAAGTGGCAAGGGGGGGTGTGCATGAGCTGAACAGAAAGTAATCAATTAGAGAACCATAAACCATACACATATTTGGGACTCAAGAACTCAAAAAAAAAAAAAAAAACAATTTCTATGAGGAGCAATGAATAGGCTCAAAGGAAAATAAGGAATTTGCAATTGAATACTTCACTTCTCAAACTGATACTGTAATGTCATTGTGCAATTTTGCATACCTCCCCCTGCAGTGAAGCCACTCAGTCATCGAAGAATTGAACGGAATAAGATCAGTGGAACTTGGGGGCAGCAGGAACGCATCGGACTCACTCGATGTTTGCGGGCGGGAGCCGGACGTCGGATGCGGTTCACGGCCGACTCCAAGAACTTCAAAAAGCCATCCGTGAGGACGGCAACATCCTCTTCGCATAGCACCTGATAGACATCAAAGTGCTGCATCTTCTCCTCCACGATCTGCTTCGTCGTGCACACGTGGCATTGCGGCAGGAGCACCATGGGGAATCGCCAGTACTTCAGGTCCTGCGGGCAACAATCGTAACGAGTCGACGTCGACGGTCGTGTGCCACAGAGAGCAGGGGGCCGCACCTTCGTGAGGCGGAATTCCCGATCGCCCCGGGTGGCGACGTAATTGTCGAGGTAGTTCCACTTGTAGTTCTCCAGTTTCTCCGTCACGAAGTCGGCCGTGGAGACCTCGAAGGTGTCCGAATGCGGTGCCAGGAACCGATACTTGTATTTCATTCGCAGGGATGGATATGGGTGACTGGAAATACGAGCACATCCAAAATAAAGGCTTGTAACGTGATCCAATGTTCAATACTTTTCATACATGAGCCCATAGGCAACATGGCTAACATTATCTTAAAATAATTCCCAGTGTATGTGAATCTGCTCAGGCTGCAAGGTTCACAGCAACAATTCCAACTCAATCCCACAACTCAGAATGCAACCAGGAAAACATATACAGTGAAGTATTGAGAAGAGCCTTCAGAGGCTTTTAGTTTAGTACTTGGACTCATTCTCAACTAAGTCTCATCACAGCTTGCCATCATAAATTCTGCATCCTTCCATCATTCACTAATCTCCTCACCTTACTCTCTTCCATGTCAAGCTAACATGCCGTCAGAAAGAAAGTTCATGTCATTTGCTCAAGAATGCCAAAGTTTATCAGAAACTTTCCTAATTTTTAAATACATTTTTAAGCATTATGAAAACTGGACTGGCATTATTCTCCTGCTGGCAGAGACCTATACTGCTAATACAAAACCAGTGGTACAGATTGGGAACCTAGAAAATCCTTCATTTTAGCAACCAAGGATTGCAACCGTGGGCTGTATCTGGTGACCGTGATGGTGGGCTCCAAGAGCGTCAGCTTGTGGAAGATGCGACCGATGGAGAGATACACGGAGGAGGAAGCCAGGGAGGGAGAGGACGCCGACGACGACAGGGACGGCTTCTCCAGCTTCGGCTTCATCCGCCCCAGGGTGCCCTGGGGCAGGGGGTTCCCCTCCCCCGGCTGGCTGCGCTCCTCGAACACGATCATCTGGAACCCCTGCATTTTTTCACGGAGAAAATTAGGCAAGCATCGACGACATCCTCGCACGTGCTGACAACCGGCACCAACTATCGCACATTATTCTCATTAGGTGCAGCAAGGACATCCTGACCAGAAGTAGTCCTTAAAATGCTGAATTTTCAATCCTGAAAGCTGTCACTCCTATTCAACAATTTCCATTATCTACATCAACTATCTACATTCAATGAATGCTGGCTTTGAACATGCAAGGGCCGTGAACAAAAGGAGCAGATTGAAGCATCAATATGTCTACAAACAATCTATAACCAGCATTATATTTATTCCTATAGGATCACAAACGCAGTGGATAAGATCTCAAGTTAATGATATCACTGCCATCACAATTTCCCTCACTCATCTGCTAAATTGACAGAATAATACAAACAACCTATAACCAGCATTATATTTATTCCTATAGGATCACAAACGCAGTGGATAAGATCTCAAGTTAATGATATCACTGCCATCACAATTTCCCTCACTCATCTGCTAAATTGACAGAATACCATTTGTGTTCTGAAGGCAAATGATACTGGAGCACTAAGTTTAAATTACATTAGACAAAGAAAACGTTGGAAAATGGATATTGACACCTTCCAATAAGACAACTAACGATAAGGCTTGGACACGTCCAATAACAATGTATATAAACTCCGGTGTTTACCTACTCTGCTATCAAATCACCATGCTTTAATTTCACCGTATCACATGCCTATAAGATGCTTGGGCATAATGAATCCTCTAATATGCTAGTTTCCCCACGTTCCAAAACCATCGAGAATCAGCCACGTGACCTGTTGGAGGCGCTGCGCAATCATCTCCCAGAAGGCCTGGGCCGTGGTGAGCGGCGTCCAGTGGTCGTACTTGAGGCGCTCGATGTCCGCCGAGATCGCCTCCGGGAGCAGGGAGTAGTCCGACAGGACGTAGTCGAACTGGAGGCTCCTGGCATCCGGGAAGTAGTCCGTCGTGATGGGCAGGCACGCCGGGATCGTCAGCGACTTCCAGTCCACTCCTGTCTCGCCGGGGTCAGCCGTCAGGGCGTTAATATCCATGCGGTAGGAGGTTGAAACCAGACAATTTTCTTAATTTACTAAATTTGAAATAAAAAAATCTCTAGATTCTGCACAAACTAAACTCCGAGCTGAAACATCATATACTGATATAGCTTTTGATCTTGAGTTCTTCACTAGTCACTAAATTTTGTGCTGGCAACTTAGTGCATAGGTTACCCCATTTACGAAGCCGTGACGTTTTTACTTCTAAGATGCGACGTCATACAGTCTTTTACTTGTGGTATTATAAAGGTGAAGTAGTCTTTACGGAGTACGGAGTATTTTTTTATATGGTAAGCATGTTTTACACCTGCATCTCGCCCGAGGACTTGGAATGGGATAAACGCAATTACTTTTAACTTCAAGCCAACTTCACCAGGTAGAATCGCCTGCTGATTGGTGGAACTGTTCATAACCCTAAAAAAAAAAAACTCCAAGAATCCACTAGGCCAAAGCAGGTGCATCATGCTCAAAGGAGGAAAATATGTATAAAACAAATTCTCTTCCAAGTTCCCTGCAACACAGTGCCAACATAAATTCTCATCCAACAGAGACACATGCTCTTTAAAAACAATCTATCGTAGGCGAAGGGTAGTGACATCCCTCCCGATCAGATTAGACAGGGGGAAACAGAGAGAGATGAAAACAAAAAAAGGGGCTGAACGAAGAGCAGGATGACATTAGAGCAAAGATACTCCAAAGCAGTTCTCACATGGATGCAAAGAAAAAGTCTTTGTTTAGAGTCCCATCCCAAGGAGCACACGAAAGCCTATTTTGCCCTTTGAAGACACAAAGCTGCTTTGCCATATGTCATCATCACTGGCAGTAAAAACAAAGGTGTAAATTCATCAGAGCATTGAAAACTCTCTGAATATGGCTATCAACTTGAAGGCACTGTAAATTTGGGCTGCATGAATTGATTATAACATCAATGCTATGATCACCGCAAAATAGGAAATTTACTGTATACTATGCACTCCATCGATGAGAGAAGATATTAAAAGGGCTGAAAATCACAATTGTCGGAACACCACAAACAAGACAGTGGTGATGACTGAAAATAGCATCATTTTTAAGCTAGTTGGGATCCAAGGGCTGTGCCCTAATAGTGCAAAAGAGAAGATATTAAAAGGGCTGAAAATCACAATTGTCTGAACACCACAAACAAGACAGTGGTGATGACAGAAAATAGCATCATTTTTAAGCTAGTTGGGATCCAAGGGCTGTGCCCTAATAGTGCAATCCCACTCCCATCTGACCCACTAGCAGGATAATGTTAGACCACAGGAAATTTGACAAAAAACCTTGTACACTCAACTTGTACACTGAGAAGCAATTAAAATACTGGCACACCTGTGTAAGCAAAGACAACATATAAAAATGTTGCCTCTCCTAGAGTGAGAAAATTTACAAAGAATAACCCCAATCTTTCAGGGGCCAAGAAACATAGGATAGATAGGGAAACCTGTCAGTACATAAAGCAAATGGCTGCTTCTGGCCATAGGTGCACCTCTGCCTCCAATAGGACCACAACATAGATTCAAGCAAACCTGCATGGGTATGCCACAAATCACAATATCATTGACATCAGCCAAGCCAGATCCTGCCATTCAGCACAGCAGAAAAACTCCAGGCGTGAGCACGTATCATACGGCTCTATGACTCTGGAGGCAAAGAAATGACTTTCTGTAAGTTCCACATAACCAACCTGTTGTAAATGAACAAAGACTCATGTTGTTAATATTGAATCATCTCTCATCAAGCTTCCACATTTCATAAACATTTCATCCAAAGGGACTTCTACCCGTTCGTCAAGGAAACGGAACGAGACTCAGAGCATGCAACGTGCGAGCGTCCCGCGCGACAGTCTCGGCTGCCGGACGTGCCCCGATGACGAAAAGAAAAGCAAATCAGTGGCAGAGTTCCTACGAGAAGGACGTGTCGACAGGTAGAGGAAAACCTAAAGAACGCTAGACCTAAGGAGGTGCCAAATAGGGAAGGGCAAAAGAACACAAAAGAGGTGGAGTCGTAGAGAGTGAGCAAAAGGGGGCAAACCTATTAACGCATGTCCTGTTCCACATCGTCGGCCAGGGCATGGAAAGAGAACACAACTCACGTCAGCAAATCGGCTCTCGGATGCCTCCCGCATCCCAACCCCCCTCCTCGTTTCTATTCCGTCACGTCCTCGAGGAATTGCATTATGCTCGAAAAGGAACTTCAGCCCAAACAAAAGGTTTATAAGACACTGGCTTATTGTAAGCAGAATGTGAATGCCCCACATCTTGAAACTAATAACTTTCTCATCGTTTACGCCTGTCGGTATGCCATCGAAATCTAGCCTTTTTGTGTTCAGGAATAGGGTAAAATACCCATTGATGGACCACAACATAAAAAATATACATCAGCTAAGCTACCATTGCAATAACAGTCCTGCAGCAACATGCAAACATTCATGTCAATTCAGGTGTTCCTGCTTCATTTTCCAATTATCACTAGTTACATTGGGGACTTCATTGGGTGTTTTACCCTACCCTCTCCATAAGGTTGTTCTAAGGCCATTACATACATTTAAATGCCACTTCTTGTGAAAACACTGCCAACCAAAAACCTAAAAAAAAAGCAAGCACATACTATACATGTGCAAGGACTTCAGTCACATCACCAAAGGACTTCCACAAGACCAGGATTTCAAAAAATAACTGAAAACACTGACCATCTGGACTCCGGCAGGCCAGATGATGATTCTACGATTTACGCTTGAGCATAAACGAGCAAGAAATGGGATAACTGATTAAGGCAAGGTGTGCAGCAATCACGTGGTCAAGTCTTTTCCAATGTATTTGACCTAGAACCACAAAATGACTTTACTCAAGCTGGCGCTACATCCAATCCCACTTCCAGTACTTCTAGTACCAAGTCCCACCTCATATAAAGTCTGCACTTTTGCTCAATTTCCTTTTAACCACTCCTGGGAGTAGGTGTAATAATCCATACTATGATACGCACATGAAGGTTTCCTCACGCATATGTAGGAGTTGGTCATGATCCTGCAGAATTTTAATTAAAATGGCCTGCCAGTATAGGGTAGATTTTGTTGGCTAGTCGGCACCAAAGGAAGGGGTCAACAAGAGGAATGACCCAGCCAGGCAGACACAGGAAAATTTGAACTACAAGTAACACGCCTGAATGTGATAAGTCATTAAGTGGGACTGAGTGATGGCCTGAAGATGAAAGCAAGAACTCATTAATTCAATATCGAGTTCCAAAAAATTGAGTGAAAAATGATCACCTATCTCAAATCCCACGTGTATTAGTGTGGCATACGAGTACAAACCGGTCTAGGATATGCGTACATATAGGCAACACATTACCACAGTACCTTTTTAACTCATCGACATAACAAATTAAAACATTTTAAAAAATACCGATTCTGCAGACAGAACGAAGACGAAGAGACAGACCTGTGGTCAAAGCCGGGGTCCACTCCTGCTCCCCCGTCGCACCCCAGAGCAGCGTCTGGCTCCTCTGGCTCTCCGTCCCGGTCAGGGACGTCTTGGGCGTTCCCCTCCGTCGCCCTTCGGTCAACAACATCCCCTTTGCTCAAACATTCCAAGATCGCTCCAGCAGATTGCACTTTCACGCATGCACATGACTTAATTAGGCGAGGTAAAAACCTGCCATTCCAGATGGCAACAAGACAGTTTCACTCAAATCATTTTAAAAAATGCAGAAAAACCATATATTTTGATCAATTTCATTATTTGGAGGAAGATCATATATACCAGCTATGTCACAACACCTGGTTTTATATCTCATAAAATAATACTTTCATGTAAGCATCATAATGCGAGCATGAAGGCTTGAATGCAAACACCATGAAGGGGGGCAAGGTCATAATTCTAATTTTAAAAAATAAATAAAAAATAAAATAGCTTTCAAGATAACCAAAGGAAACATAGGGCCAGGGGAGTCCAACGTAAGCCACAAGGAAAACATAAATGTCGCGGGGGACATGCGCAAAGGTAAGGGGAGTTCAAATCCAGCCTGCATCAAGAAGTAGATATTCCCAAATTTGCAAAAAAAAAAAAAAAAGTTTCAACTTCATGATTCCAATCAACACTCACCCATAATGGTAAATTAATGAACTGACTCCGGTGTTCACAATTTTATGACAGTTGCATGCCATCTGATACCATATCGATACAGCACCCTCCCACACATCATTTCACCCCTACAAAAAACAGTGCGGGTGACAGAATCACCTGAGGGTGTCCAGCATTAGATGACAGGAGATACCTGCATGTCAAAATTTTAAGCAAAAGTGTATATGAGTCACCTATATGAGTCATTATCCATGCGCCCTGCAAATTCAAAAATATTTGTACACCCCTAATGTGGGATATAGAAACATGAGGGGGAAGGAAAACGGGTATTTTGTGATGGAGATAAGGTCCTGCTCAACAGCTGACCAGGTGTCAATTTTCATGAGAAACTCTAAAAAAATATTGAATTCAATCGCAGAATTGAGCTTTTTTTATATCGAATTTTCACAGGAAACTAATTTTTTCCCTGAAAAAAGAACCTATAGTTTGTAGTACGCTGTGCTAATATCAACTATATGGCTTTAATGGAAAATGCAGGTCCAATGCCACCATGAACCCCTTCCACTCTCAAGTGAGGACTTGAAAAACCCATTCAAAGTGCACGGAATGCTTGCATTTGCTTCCTCGCCTATCATGCACGCTCCCATTGATGTTACCCGAGCGATGGAAGGGGTCAGACGAGACAGGGCAGTTGGTACAACATAAATATAACATTGACTTTATACCATTGATGCCATACAAAAGCAAAAAAATGTATAATAGTTTGAGTTCCACGACTGAATGCATAACCATTACAATTTATTAAGTGTTCTGATGAAATCAAATCAAAATAAAATAAGATCAAAATACAGTACCACTACTTCTTACAAAAGGGTGCCACTCCTGCCTCCCTCAAAGACCTCGCCAACAGCTCACGGAACGGGAAGCCTGGCCGAATACGAAAAGAAAAGAAAGCGGGAGGAGGGGAACAGAACGGAACCTACTCTCGAGAGTGTAGGAATCCTCAGATTGGTCATGGTCACTAGCTGGGGTTTCTACCAGGGATTCTGCCAGGAACAAACAAAACCAAAAAAAAGCACACATGGGTGCAATGAGGCAGAACACAACCGTGCAAGGAACGGATGGTCGGCGACCGAGGCCGACGGCAAAAAGCCGGATGAACTCACCGTCCGAAGGCGATTCCTCGCTTGCACTTGGGACCGCCTGATAGTGATGTTGCTGGATCAACATACCCTCAGGACCTACCATATTAGAAGCAGTATTTTACCAAAATAATTGCACTTGCCCGAAACAACACCAGATATGGAATAAAATAGAAAAGGCACCAGTTTCTGCAGCAAATCATTATCCAAAAAAACAGGCAATCACTAATGTTGTATAGAAACATGAGTCAAGAGGCCCTCACAATAAAAACTTCAATGCATAAATTTTACCTAACAATTTCCAGCAAAACATCTGACAATATTGAACAGCATGAATTGAGTTGAGTATTTAGCTTAATTTTCATTTCAGTCCCATTAATGAAAAAAACTTACAAGCACAAAGGTGGCCCAAAACCTGAATTCTTAAAAAAAAACAAAAAAAAAACAGAGATCAATCTCGCACATCGAATCCAGAACATGCAACACCAACCCTTCGGGAAGATGTGGGTCCACCGCCGCCGATTGGACGTGAGCTTGATCTTCACGTGGGACGGGTCGAATGGGTTGATGAGGGAGCGCCGGGGCCTCTTCGCAGAGAAGCTCGGACGGGACAGGGACCACACCCACTCCAGGGACACCTTCTCCGGCGTCATGTAGTCCGTCGGGGGGGACCCGGCACTCCCGCCGATGAAGGGCGGTGGGGTTCCGGGGAACAACGGATCCGCGCTCACCCGCTCGGATTCGTGCAGCCGACGACTCAGCTGCAGTGCCCGAGCTACGGGGGAGAAATACACGTAGGAAAAAAAAAACCAAGGTTCCTTCACCTTATGACACCTGGAGATGAAAATTTTCAAACACAAAAATGGCAATGAAATCTGACATCGCTACGATTATAGAGATTTCCGACCGTATATCGATGCCATACTTGGAATGAGCACCATTGGATGATCTTAGTAGCAGAAAAGCCTGCTAAAGTAAATGAAATCCAGTTATGCCCATCAAAATGACACTGGATCAGGAAAATGAGGCCAAGCCGTATTACTATCAATTTCACCCAGTTCCCCCAGCAGGGAGCAAATAAATGTCGAGGTAGAGCTCGAGTCTAATGTTCCTCTGACAGAAGAGCCCATGGTCGGAATCCCGAAACGAAACACCTTCCTACAGAAAAAAACAGGCCTACCGCACCATGCACAACTGATGGAACACAAGATGCTACATCTAATGAGTTTGACCACCATGAAGGATGAGAGGGAGCGGGAGAGGGAGCGAGAGGGGAAGAGAGTGGAATTCACATGTGGGAGGGGAGAAGACGAAGTTGAGGTGGGCATGCTCGCAATGATGGAGGGGGGAGAGAGGGGTGGAGGAAGACGAGGAGGGGGGAGTCCGGTGCAGCAATAACTGAATGGCAGACAGTCTCTGCTGCTTCTTCAACCACTTCGTGGATTTGCAATAGCCTGATCAAACACAAAAAGACGGTATTGATATCCTCCATACGTGATCCATCCACGACATGGGAGTCATTCAGACGGGCATTTCCCAAAGCGTGACTTCGTTTTGGTTAAACAAAATGATCGAGTAGGGACACTGACAGTAAGAAAGATTGGCTGAACCCTTGCCGATCTCAAATCACTTTGTACAAACCTCAAGGCACTTGAAGTGTCAGCAAGGATCTGGGTCATCAATTCTCAGGGATCCAAATTCCTTTAGATTAAGTAAACAAAATGATACTCATTAAACAGAAATTAATGAAAAAATGCCTAAGACTCTCCAAATTCATCCTCATCTCTCTGAAGCCAACTGGGCCTTAGATATTACATATAGTTACCAAATAGGTGTTGAGTCTTTGCCCACACAACCTAAGTAGTTCTTTAACAGCAGGAGCATGAAAGGCAAAGGTGAAGAGATCATCAAAGTGAACAAATTCTAGAGAATTTATTCACGTGAATAACGAGAATTTCACAAACTCACATTCCAAGTCGAGTGCCCCGTAAGAGGAAGAGAGCAGCGAGGGGGTCGGAGGGATGTTGATGGCCGAGGAATGCTTGCCGTGCGCCCCGGACCGAGAAGGGAGTTCGTGGCTCGGGGCGTACAGGTCGGCATCGGACATCTTGTGGTACGGGCACCTTCCGATCGCCGGCTGAGTCTTCTTTTTCATGTGGTGGCCTCCGTATCCATGATGCATTTGGGTTGCAGCTTCGGCATCCCTGAAGCAAAGATGGGACTTTTCCCTTTTCACACGGACAACTCCACCATCAATTACATTCATGTACTGTTCTGGCCCCAATTGCAGAACCAATCTCCTCATGAGACATTATGAATTTGCAGTTAAATATTGCTCAGGATATTCACCATTTCCTTTACTTCTTCAAAAGTATGTACTTAAAATGAACTTCCAGTAAATGCCAATGAAAAGGGATACACCCTACACAACTGGACATCAAAAAGACATGTCAGCTTAGCAATTACCCATACACTACCCAATGAATGAAGGCTCAACAATCACTAATGTGTAGATTAACTGCAGAAAGAGAACTATTAAGCATACTTCAGGCCCTTTCCTCAAACACCCAATAAAGGAACAGCAGGAAAGTGCAACCCACCTGAAACTCTGCGAGGCCGGGAGCTTGAAGACCTGAGCGTCGTACGCATCGTAGTCGAAGACCGAGTTCTGGAAGTCCGACTCGAGGATGGTCTCGTGGGAGGACCGAGGGCAGTGCTGGGGGGTCGGGGGAAGGAGCGAGGACGTGCTCCCCAGGGAACTCGGCACCGACATCTTCCCGTTCCCCGACAGCAGCAGGTTCGGCGGGATCTTGACTCGCGACACGAACACGTTCATCCCCATCTGCTTGTTGCTCGTGTAGAAGCTGCAAATCACGTGAAACATGCACCGGCTGATTCCTCAACTTTGCACACTCTGTGAAAATGAATGAGTTGGACTTAAGTATGCAGTGAAAACAAAGTCCAAGGAAAAAAAAATACTACATAGGGCCCATAAATATTATGGAGAGGATAGTACATGGACTTCCCAGCAAAATGATGTCATTTTTTCGTCCTATAACTAACAAAAGAGAACTTCTTGTTGGTATGGCATAGTCTTCAATTCAGTTCCAGCTGTAAAGGCAACATGGGGAAAAATTCACCTGAGATTGATCCAATGTGGCATGCTGAAGTCATCAACAACTTGAGACTGATGGACTGGAAGCTTGTTATGATACTGCAGAAGGGAAAAATACATTGCACGCAAAATACATTTTTAAAAAACTAAGAAGGTGAGAGGAGAACCTTGAAAAGGGGGACGGCATGAAGGGGCTGCTCCCCGAGGCACACGAGATCAGAGCCGACACCATTATCGATGATGCGCTGCTTGGTGATGTTCGTCAGCTCCCGGTCGACCTCGAACACCCCGACCCCGGGGGTGATCACGACCGACACCTGACCCGTCCGGTCGAAGCTCCGGTCCACGTAATGCTTCTCGAACACTGTTATCGGGACACTGACATCTAGAAAACCACACATCAGAAGAATCCCACAGCGTGACGAGACACGCACCAGTGAGAGAGATGTTGAGGACTTCCAGGAAGTTGCCCTGCGATGCCGAGGAATTAATAGCCTTGGGGACGTGGATACTCGGTCGCTGGTGGCAGCTGAGCACCTTCTTCGGGTACTCGTAGAACGCCTGCTTCAGTTGACTGACGATCATGGTCCAGTCTTCGGATCGCTCGTTCTGGATTGCGACCCTGAATGAGATCACCGTGTGCATAAAGGTAGCTAAACAGAAAACAAACAATGCCTTTCCCAGTAAAATAGGAAGACTTCTCCTCTGCCATACCTATAGAAATCCTCATAGAAGCGACCCCTGTGGTCTTGTTCTAGGCAGGGTCGCATGTAGTCCGGAAATTCCTCAATGCTGGATGCCTTGTAAAACGTCCTCGAGAAGAGGACGATGGTCACCTCGTGATTGCTTCCCTGCTTCTGTAGGGGAGGCATGCAGATTTTAGACTATTATTCACATTACCCTCCAAATGGTAATAAGAGGTTTCATATGCATCAAAAGTGTTATTTTATTATATAAATTCAACATTGCCATTAGAATCTATGACTTGCTCCAAATCAGATTGAATCTCATGATCACGATGAATCCAAATTTCACAAAATTCAGAATGTCTTCACATGAATAGTCCATTTATACTTAGAACCCCAGTTGCATGCAAAATTCTATCATATCAATTTGTAACCATACCATGGATAAATGTCTTACATTCCAGGCATCTATGTCTGTATTTGAAAATTTTGAAAAGAAGTGTTTGCACCTTTCAGTGGAAAGATCTTTCTAAGATGCATCCACTTCAAAACAAATATTCCACCGTTATCCAGAATTTGGGAATTCAATTACAGCAAATTCCCTCTAGGTAGATTACTGCAACAAATAACGAATGCTAAGAATACAGGTGGAAATTAGGAACACTGAAAGAAAGTGCAGACCAAACGATATCCCCACCTTCCACTTGGTGAAAAGATCGCAGAGGAAGCCATTGACAGCCTTTTCGAAATACAGATCGCCATGAACATCAAAGTCCCACATCTCGGACGACATTTGGATGAAGAGGTAAACCATGCCTGTCAGCGATCGGAACACCACCTGCAGAGAGAGACGCTTCCCTTAACCTCATTTTCCTCGATATTCACCCATCTCTCATGTTGGGGTTGGGATTTTCAACAGGGACCACGTTAAGGGATATTTTTCCTCCGCATGGAGGGAACAGGCATAAGTAATCCAAACCCACCTCAAACTAGAACTTTCGCACATTGACCATTCCTTCTCAGTTCTTAGTCTCATGGTGACACCTTGCATAAATATATCAAAAAATTTAATTGCAGAGTGTGACTTCACTGGTTAATTTACTTTTCTAACTATTCTGGATTCGTGTAAAAACCCAAAATGTACTAGTACAAAATTCTCGTTGTAACCCTAGCTACCTGTCGTAAAGACTAGAACGAGCTACGCAGCAATATTTTTTTTTGTTTTGAGCACTAAGGTGTGCCGCTGGAGGAGGCTGTAACTTTCATGCCACCAAATCACCTTGGTGTCCTTGGTGACGACGCCACTGCCGACCCTCTCGCCCTGGGACCACATCTCGTACACCTGGCACCTCACCGATCCTCCGCAGAACTCTATCTTTTGGGTCAGGTAGATGCATCGATCCACCTGAGGATCAAAATCCAAGATAAAGAGGCTTCCTTAGATCGAGGGGCATTGCATGAGTTAATAGCCAGTTAGAGTCACAAAATTTGATGCTGTAGTTACAAACACATCACAAGCTTCTCTAAAACACTTCATGGCAAATGCCACTGGTGAAAAAATCATGAATGCATAGAGGAAATCTTTCCAAGCATAAATTGCAATGCAACCATGTACGAAACGGAACAAAATGCAACCGTACCAAGCACTCTTTGAGCTTCCACATGTCTGATCGAGCAAAGTACTGATCCTTGAAGGTAACCTCGACGGAGTCCAGCGACACGAGGGTCGGGTCGACCAGGGACACGACCACGTCGGCGTACGCCCGGAGGTTGAACACCTGGGCGATCGACTGCTCGATGCTGATCGTGTCCTTCTGCTTGTAATCCTCCTTGGGGTTCTCCACCTGCAGGAGGAGCCTCGGGCCCTCGTCCTCCGGGTGGTAGATCTCCACGATGCTCTTCGGCTTCGCATCCGGCAGGTCCCGCGGGTTCAGGATCAGGTTCCCCCCTGGAATGGCATGCGAGGCATGATTCATGCATCGATGTTAACAAAGGCCGTGTGACAAAGTGAAATACATTTATTTTTAAAAAAACGAATTAGCTAAAACTGAACTGTTAGCTGATTGCAAATGCTTTTGTCCCACGCCTTGCATTCCAAAGTGCTACTTCAAAATGACATCTTAGGATGCATATCTCCCATGATAGGAATGTAAAAAGCATCAACAAAAAGCCCATGTTAAATGTCATACGAACGCACTCACGCTCAACACGTTGACATCGAAATGCAACTTTTTCTTACACCGTCCCAAAAAGGTATATTCAAACCCAATATCCATGCTTGTTTCCCCACATTAGGCCTTACATTCAGGTAGTTTATTAGCATGGTAGTTTGTTAGCACAATTTTGCTTATAAATAGTTCCACGAAACCTCACACCAGGATGATCACAGTCCTTGACTATCCGCCCTCAGGTTGCCACCCACACATAATGAGTATGAACAGTACATATTTCAAATGCAATGTCTATATTGCAAACTGGTTCTAATATGGCCAGTGTTTTGTCCATAATTTAAACTTAGGTTGTGTCTTAATACTTAATAAAGCTTAAAACAGGAAATGTTGTCATTTCCTATATCAGTTTTCGTAATCCGGTGTGAGTCGTAGCTGGTTGTGGTATAACCGAATCCCACCGACACCCATATAAAACTAATCAGGCCTATAACAATTTAAGTTTCCACCATTGAGGTTAGACGGGTTTTCGTCCACTCTCGCGAATCGAGCCTAGCCTAGGCCTCTCACGCCCAGCATTAGGCCTACGACAACGCACGGACAAACGACGAGCGAGGAATTCCTGCCTCTCGTCAAAGTGGCTCTCAGAAAGGCCTAACGTTAGGCATAACGTTAGGCATAACGTTAGGCCTAACGTTAGGCCTAACGTTGCATTCTTCAGAACTGCGCATCGATCGTTAAGCACAATCCTGCGAGATTCCGCTCACCGTAGTTCCTCTGATGGAGCTGAAGCCTGAACAGCTTCATTTTCTCGGGCATTTTATCAACGACGGCTTCATGCACACCCCCCACGAGGTCAACTCTCGAAATTTTAGATCGACGATCCGGAGAATAGTAGACAGGTTAAATGACTCGTGTTTACAAGCACGACTCCATATTCGTGACGTCGAGGCCCATGCGTCTCGTCCGGCCAGTAGCACCTCTTAGCTCAGTGAGTAGCACCGAGGGACACGGCCAAAGTCTGCAAAGGAAAAAAACTGCAATTCATTTCTCCCAACTGCACCTTCCGGCAACGTCAGACAGCTTTCCCGTCGGCGACAGACGCGACCGCGTCATCGAACCGAACTGCGAGAGCGCCGAGCGGCAGAGAAGTGCCTTCCACAGATGTGGGGAGGGCGTTGGGATTTCTTTCCGCAAGCAGATCGACCGCTGTCAACAAGAACCAGTCACGTTTGGGGAAGCTGAGGCTTTTCGGGGAAGAGTGACGTCACCGCACCTTCCACCAATGAGACGACTCGAAACTCCCAGGAAGAAAAAGAGAAGAGCGGATTGGCGCTCCTCCGGCCCAATGCGTGACGAGAGCCGACAGGAGAAAATCGGAGGGGAAATTTTCAGTTCTTAAATAGTGTCGGGCGTTTTACCTTGTGGTGATTTACCCGACGTCTCAGGTTCGTCCAGGTCTAAGGGTCGGAAATTCGCCGGAGCCGATTTCAAGTTCCAATTCGAGGTCGAAGAAAAATACCTGCCCAGTTTTTTTTTTTAGATGTCGCAGTCCTCGCCGCTTTTCCGGGGAGATTCCTTCGATCGTGATGGGAAAGCGCTTGAAGGACCGTTCACGTCGTTTACACACCGGCGTCCACCATGTAAAAAAAAAAATAATGAAACCTATAAACTTTCTTTACCGTGCGATTTTATTCGAATCGGGTAAAGTCCTCTTGCTACCATTGATGAATTAGCTCAGCGCATCACCTTGGCCGAGCGGTTTCCGAGTTTCCAAGTGAAACCGGAATGGAGGGATGGAGTTCGCGTGGCGGCGGGCTCTTCCTCCCTCACCATCCTCACCCCTTCCTCGCTCACCTTCCTCACCCCTTCCTCCCTCACCCACCTGCGCCGATTGGAGAGTCTTCTTAGCGTGGGATAACAGGCGCGCCACGTTGACGCATACGAGGTGCATCCTGTGGCGCTTGACAGGCCATCATATGATAATACTTCAAAGCTCTGTTTTTCACCGCTGGGCTAAAATTCCAATGGTTATGAGCTTTTTTTTTTAATTACTGCTTTGCGATGTTAATTCACTTGTTAGAGCGTGCCTAAGGTACCCGACTGACAGTCACAATTTAATCAACATCGATTCAACGTTGCTTCAACGTTTAAACTTCTGAACGAGCAATGAGTCAATGTTGTTTCAATGTTACACGTGCAGCCCACCCCATGACTTAATGAACACAGAGAACGACAGGAATCACGAGAACGACAAGTGAGGACAAACCGGCGGCCTTCGCGTAATCGATGGCCCTGCCGCGATTCCGCCGTCAAGAGGGATCAGAGGCGAACCACTTTCCCCCAAATCCCCTGAATCCATTTTCGGCATCATCCTTCCGGCCTTCTGACCATACAGCGTCCGAGTTTACCGCGACTTGGACGGAACAGTGTAAAAAAAAAAAAAAACCGATTTGGAGGGTGGAGAGGGAGAGGAGGTGGAGGTCGATGAAGGGTTCCCGGACTGCTATTATCAGGCACCGAGTGAAGGTCCCTGCTTGGTAAATCGAAGCCTTGCCGTTTCTTACACGGTCGGAGCCGAGGTGCCTCAGCGCTAGGTCGGAATCGAGGTGCCTCAGCGCTAGGTCGGAGGGCGAGGTGCCTCAGCGTTGGTTGTGCCCGGGCTTGGGTGGATCAGGTTGGGGCCAGACTCTGGTCCTTGCTGGTCGGAGCCAGAAAGGAACGCATAGAAATAGCAAGGACGAGATCGGATTGTGGGCGTGCGGACGGTTGGAGTGCGAACAACCCCTTCCTGTTTTCGTCGTTTAGTCGTGATGGAAGAAATCGCGAGACCTCGCGGAAGGGCTCCATCGAAGGGGTGAGCTCAATCTTCTGGTTCTTCGAAGGGATTATATATTCTTTCATTTTTGTTCATTCACTTTTTAGAGCGAAAGCTGTCAATAGCGATGTTGTGCTGAGAAAGATCCTCCACATTCTCATTTGAGTACTTTGCATGTCATCTTAGATTCGAATAAACGAAATCCTGTGTGAAACCCAGTCCGTTGGAATAATTGTCTAACGGCTACTGATTCCCTCCGACCACTACGAACCAATACTTAAAGGTTAGTTTCCGACCCATCCTTGCGTAAAATGGCTTGGAATGATGCAATTAAAATTTAATCTCATGGACTTCAGACGAGCGGCCATACAGGGACAAACGGCGACAATCCCCCGCTCCACCATTACCCGAATCCGCGGACACAATCAATTTATTCGTCAATCGGAACGCGCCGTTGCCGGCTCGGGAAATCCATCACGATCGACAACCCAGAAAGGACTCCACAGGACTGAAGAGGAGGATCGGATCCAGGACCAGCCAGGCCATGCTGCAATCGCACCGGATCGGATTCCCTGCAACGATGGACGATCAAAGCACTGCATCGTTTCAAAGAAAGGCCTTGGAAGATTGGGACGTGCAGATGTGAAACACAATGATTTTAGAAACTCTATTTTTATTTTTTGACATTTCTCATCTGTTGAATGACTTGCCAAGTAAGTCTGTTCCGTCGCCTTCTATGGCAACGGGGAAAATAATGTCTTGATGGCGAGATAGGGATGGGAAGTGGAGAGATTCCGTTCGCCTTTAAATTCCATTCGAACATTGCACTCTCCTTGTTTCTCCAAAGAACGTGGGAGGGCAAGACCGTCAATATGCAGGAATTGAATCTTTCCCGTACCATGGATATTCAGGAGCATGCAAATTTACGCTCTACAGCTACGAGGGTCACTCAATAAGTTATCTACCTGAATAAGAAAGAAACATCCGAGGGGGAAAATAACACTTTATTTTTCAAAAAAGAAATCTAATGCGCTACCACTTTGAACGGACTTGAGCCACTGAGCTGGTAGAGTGGCGGGGCACTCACGAGACCTGTCGAGATATGTCACAGGAGGCACAGGCCTGTTGCTCATCCCTTTCATATTCAGGTAGATAATTTATTGAGTGGCCCTCGTATATTCCTGCTTTCTCCCGATTTTGGAGCACGACACCAGGTCCACTTGATCTATGTCTCCGATTCGTTTTTTAAGAGGTCTGCTATTTTAAGTCTCAGATCATCTGCCGCTTCGTCCTTGTCCTCTTGGAGCCCTTGAAGTAAAATATTATTCCTCGTAAGTATGATGTTGATTTCAGAAAGAAGTCAAATTGTGTGGTGCATCCCCTTCGGGCACATCTATTGGGTGGGTTGTCTTTCCAAAAATATTTTTTGCATCAGCGAAGGTATGCGCCTGAAACGTGGTGAGCACGGATTTCTTTGATTACTTATTTGCAAAAATATTTTTCTTCTTTCTCCAGAACTCAGTCGCCAATACAATGAAGTTCCGGGAAGTTGAACATGGGGCTACTTGGTCGGTTATTAAACGCTTGATTCTCATCCTGAGAACGTCAAAAGCTGATGCTTTGGAATCGTGGGCTGAAGAGCATCGACCTCTTAAACCGGGGAAATCGTTCTCTTCAAATCGATAGCTGTTCTTCTTCGCAAGATCCATGCCAAGAACCTTAGAGCTATACGCGATAAGCCAAAGTGCGACGCATCGGCTGAATCTGCTTCTGGGAGAGCTTTGAGCCTTCTACATGAGTTCCTTTGCTCGCATTTCAACACCCCGTCACCCAATCGTGGGCTGTGTCCGCCCACCGCTGATTCTTGCGCAACAAAACCGTTCCTCTATTCGCGAAGATTCTGAAAGCCCTTTTAAGGGTAGATTTTTGAACAGAGCCCTAAAATGATCTTGCTTCATTGGATTACGCAGCTGTATCAAATGCAATATTATTTTTCTGACTTTTGATCTCAACAGATGAAGCTGCATCTGATAATGCTGTACTACTGCATGATCATCCTTGATTATTTTCAATGACGATTGGGGAAGCCAAGTTCGTATTTCCTGAGCGAGAAGTCAACGTGGAGGGAGTTTATGAATATGCCAGCATGTATCGCATGAATTCATCAGTATTACAAACTGGAGAATTTGCTTCCATTCCGGGCAAACAAACTCTCTATGGTCGCGCCTTCGGCGCTCTATTATCTATGATGAAATTATTTAATTTGAAAGATACGTTTTTACCTATTTGGTGAAACACCGGGCTTCATAGACATATGCAGTGTGATCATGAAGTCCCAATCTACTGTATTTTATATATAAACTCAGAATTCTTACAAAAACGCATAATGTGCACTTCACATTGTAGTCGTGTTTGGACGCCTCCCTCGTGCAAGAATAATTCTGGAAACATGGCATTCGAGTCATCATCGGCATTAATGTTTTGCTCAACGACACACCGACAGAAATCCATCAATTGATGCCGATGGCTTTGGGCCAACGCTGTCCAGCTGACGAGACGATCAGGAAGACTTGGTCAGATAATATTTGGCATATTTCTTCCGCTCTCAAACCAGAATCGCTCCGGCCAATTTTAAGCACTAAGTCTCCAAGCG